TGGCCAGGTGCAGTGGCACACACCTGTAATCTTAGCATTTTGGAAGGCCAAGGCAGAAGGATGGCTTGAGCCCAGGAGTTCAAGACTAGTCTGGGCAATAATGTGACCCTCTCTCTACAGAAAATTAAAAAATTATCCCAGGGTTGTGGTGCATGCCTGTAGTTCCAGCTATTCAGGAGGCTGAGGCAAGGAGGATAGCTTGAGCCTGGGAGTTGGAGGCTGCAGTGAGCTATGATGACACCACTGTACTCTAGCCTGGGCAACAGACTGAGACCCTGTCTCACAAAAAAAAAAAAAAAAAAAAAAAACAACTTGCCAGAAAGCACTTGTAGCATAGCAACAATGTATAGACAGAACCTCATTATTTTTAAAATTGGATACAACTGGAAGATCAGATGGAGCAACCACTTTAGCTTCAGATAAAGTTACATTTGGAGCATCATTCATATTTAAAATCATATCTAATTAGAGAAATGTAAACTCTTGGATCAAAATTTGATTTAACAAAAGAGATTGTGGAGAATTCAGTAGCTGTAAATAAATTAATGCAAACACTTATATTTTAGTAAAAAAATACTTATTGAGAACTTAGTATTGTGTTAGGTACCAGAGATATCAGAAGATGGTCCTGTACTTATAATTTAAACACATGAAAAAAGCAAGAAGTAAATAATATAGCAATGGGAAAATGGTGCGGATGAGAAAAGAATGTAATCTGGAATGACAGCTTCTAGGTAATTCTAGGAAGAGGCATGTTCAATGTCAAAGGTATATATAAATTCCATGTTTAAAATAAGGATTGTGACATTGTAATTAGTGTATTATCAGATTAGTCTGTATGCCTGTTCTGAGCACGAGTCCTAGTATCACTGAACTGAGTAAATGTTTATGGGTAGAAATATGTTCTGGAAGAGATTTCCAAGCTTGTTTCAGGTCATAGTGATTGAATAAAAGCCAGTTCCTTACGCTGCGTGTTTTTTCTGAAAAATCTCAGGCACACCTGCAGTATCACCTGGAGCAACCCCTGGAGCTGGAGGTAATAGCACCCACAGGGAACCAGACACTGGAACTGCAAGTCCTGGAAAGTCAGGTAAGTCTGGACATGACTCCTTAGCGGGTCCCAACCATGCCTTGCTCAGGATGTGGACTAACAGTCAAGCTATAACGGGTATTAGATTTCTGAGCAAAGGGAAAACATAGGCAAGATGCCCTTAATGCCCTATAATTTAGAAATCTCAGTCCTGTGCTATCAGCACAGAATAGGGACTAGCATATTTGCAGCATTGACAGTGAATCACTGTTATTGATAACTAGGGACCCCAGCAGTATCTGGTGTCTCAGCCACCAGTAGCCCTGTGAGTGCAAACTTCAATGCAGCCTCAGCAACAATTTCTGGAAGCAAACTAGGTGGGTAAAATGGAGGACTCAGTGCTTGCCCAGGGGCAATATGGGGTGTAGTGTAACACTGCTCCTTAGAATAAGTATCATGCAATTAAGCAAGTTAATCACTTAACTTCTGTAACCTTTGTTTCTTTGTCTCTAAAATGCAGGACAAAGTTATGTAATTACTGGGATTGTGATGAGGATCCAATGAAATAATGAATAATGTAAATCAAAGCACATTAAAAACGTATAAAGGGTAATTATTGATAGAGAAAAATGGATATTTCTGTAATTTTTAGTTGGAAGTTAATTTAAGTCAGAATTGGTTATCTCATGGTTTAAGAAATTCTATAAATGAGCTCTTTCTATTTTTTTTTTTCTTCGCAACAGGTACACCTGAAACATCAGGTGGTGCAACTAGTGGAGGTGAAAGTACACCTGGGTTGCCCAGCAGTGGTACTACCGCCAGCTCTTCACATAAACCAGGTGAGGTTAGCTAAGCATAAAAAGTCACAAAAATCTGAATCAATAAAGAAACTTGTTTATAAAAGGCTATTTAGTAGGATATTTATTCACTTGAAAATCTTTCCTGCTTGAGAATTAGAGCACTGTTATTCAAATATTATGTGACTCAATTAGGAAGATTGCCCTTGCATTCTTTGTTATTAAGTATTTATACACTATTGGGTTATCAATTAGAGCAACACCTAATGTCACATTTTAAATCTGATAGTGTTATGTGGCCAGTTTAGAAATCACTGGAATTGTTACTTGGTACAACCATAGTGGAACTAAGTAAAAAAAGTAATAGTGATCATCTAACATTTCATCTTATGTTCAGTCCTTAAATGTTGTTCTTAGGATGTATTTGCTCATCCAGTTAGTTACGCTTTCATTTTCTATGTTTTACATTTGTCCAGACAAAATCACTTAGACAACAAGCTAAAATAATAAAATATAGATTAAAAATACTTAATAATTACAAAATGATATGTTAGTTATCTTTGCATTTCATTGATTTATATGATTTTTCCCATAATACAAATATTTAAGAGTTCAATAAATTCTTTTCTATCTTGAAAAATAGGCTGTTAGATATGAAAAGCTTATCAGGCATCAACAAGGATATTGAAATTTTAAATTAGAATTCTTCTCTTGCAATCTTTTGCAAAACACCACTATATTTAGTAATAGAAAATTTTTGTGGTTTAAAGTATTAACATATTTTTCCATAAGTTCTTTACTGAACAGAGATCTAGAACCTTGATGAACATCTTTTCCCATTTGGAAAAATAACTTTTAAATTACATTGCCTCTAAATTGTCTAAAAATTCAGAAACAGTTTTTTCCATAAAACATCTACACATTGGATTTTAAAAATTCTTTTTTCTCCAATTTGCAAATAGGCCATTGGTTTTCAAAGACTTCTTTTCTAGAATTTGAAATTTGCTTCATTTTCTCAGAGCTCACCTATAGAGGAAAAATGTAAAGTGGGCAATGGGTGTTGCCACTCCTTACCAAATAATGTTTGTGTTTCATAATACTTGTTTCGAAGGACTAAAGATATAGATTAAAATTAAATAAATAAATTGACTGATAAATACTTCTTAGAAAATAAGCACCCCACCCAAAACCTTGCCTGAAAAATGTAATTGGTAAAATAAAATAATACCATTCTTATATTTAGTTTTTACTGGATATATTGAGTACAACTTAATAAAATAAAGATATGAAACAGTCATTAACCATTGTATAATAGCATTTGTAAGTCATCTTAATCTATTTTTAACAAAAATAGAAGTGATAATCAGAAAAAAGTATACCAAGTGTAAAATGGACAAAGTGTTCTCACATATGTCAACCACCCTGTGCAGTTGAGAGTATATTAGTAATTATTCACATTTTATATATGAAAAATCAATGTGTTTACCCCAAAGTCACAGGATGAATATGTGGTGGGGCCAGAACAGGGCTTAGATTGCTAACTCTTTATCTAGTCATTCTTTATTACTAGTTAGGCCACAAACATGGTAAATTTCTGTCAAAGCTAGAGAAAGATCTTTTACCTGGCCTGTTTTTGTTTACAGTTGTGTGCCCAATGCCTATCATTTTCTGATTTGAGTACTTGATAAATATCTGGTGAATATCTGGTGAATAAGTAAATAAGTGAATCGTAGCTTCCAGTCTTGTAAAGGATAAAGAGATTTTATTCTCATCAGTGAGGTAAAATAACAGGCCACATGGAAGAGAATCTTCTGGAAGGATTAGAGATGTGGGGAGGAAGTGGACTATTTTTTGCTATATCCATGCAGTAGAGTTTTGCTGGAAACATGTGCCTATACACACACATACCATTGTGTAGACCCTTGTCTCTATAAATCCAAGGTTTCCATTTTCATCTGGTTCCTTAGTAGAATTCTTAATATTAAGATCTCAGAACTAGAGCATTCTGGTTAATACTGGATCTCCCTTCATGCCCACACCTGTTCTCCTAGTCTTCCCCATATTAGTAAATAGTACTATCACTGACTCAGTTCACTCAGGTAAAATTCTTAGAGTTACCCTTGATGCCTCTCTTCCTTTTTTCTGCACTTCCCACATCTAAACAAGGCCTGTTAATGCTACATCCAAAACATATCGTGACCCCATCCATTGTTCTCAGTCTCCTTTATCACCACTCTAGTTCAAGCCATTCATGAATTATCAGAACTACTGAAATCACCTCATAATTGGTCTTCCTACTTCTATTATGTGCCTCTTGCCATATTTTATCCATAGAGTAGAGAGTGGGATTTTGAATATATATAAATCCTATGCTATCATTACCTAGCTTAAAATTATATCCCATTGCATTTAGAAAAATGTCCCATCTCCCACACCTGAGTCATAACACTTTGCCCACTCCTATGTATCTGACCTCACTTTGTAATATTCTCCTCCTTACCTCCCGTGATCCAGCTACATTCAACTTCTAGCTCTGTTTTTCTAGCAAGTGTAGTTGAATCAGTCTTATACAGACTTTTGTACAGGCTGTTCTCTCTGCCTGGAATGTCATTCTCCTAGAGCTTCATTAGCTGGCTGCTTTTGGTTATCAGACCTCAAAAGAAATAAAATCTCCTTAGAGAAGCCTTTTCTAACTAGGCAATCTAAAATAGAATATTCCAGTTGCTCAATATCTCTTCACTTTATGAAGGTGCTGTGAAGTTTTCCTTGTTTGAGAATTTGACTTATTGGTTGGCTAGTTATTTCACTCATATGTCTACCTATCAATCCTCCAACTAGAATGCTCTGTGGGAACAAAGAACTCTACTTAATCTCTGTGTGCTTTAATTTCTACTCTATAAAATGCAAACGTAATATTATATACCTCATAGAATAATTATGATAAAATAAAGTAATGTAAGTTACTGAGAACATCTTTGGCACACAATAAGTATTGAATAAATGATTGTTTAAAGTAAACAGGAAGAAATTATACTGTAACAGAAAGAAAGGTATGAAATAAGGTAGAGGCAATTGGGAGAAAGAGGTATAAAAGCTATGCTGGAGAAAGAAAGCAGCATAAGTTCTTAAGGTTAACCAAGGACCCAGGCAGCTATTAATATCATTCTACTTTTACTACTTTTTTTTTTGACAGGGACAAGTGAATCATTAGCTGGAGAGACAAGGACAACTAGATCATCAGCTAAAGTGACAGGAAATTATGAACAAACATCTAGAGTGACCTGGACAACTGGACTATCATCTAAAGTTTCAGGGACAATGGGACCACCAGATGTAGGATCAGGAACAACTGGACCATCAGCTGGAGTAACAGGGACTTCTGGACAATCATCAGGAGTCACAGGGCTAACTGAACCATCAGTTAGAAAATCAGGGCCAACTAGACCACCAAATGAAGGATCAACAACAATTGAACAATCCTCTGCAGGAGTAGGTACAACTAGATCATCAGCTGAGGAATCAGGAACAACTGGACTATCAATTAAAGGAACAGGAACAACTGGACTATCAATTAAAGGAACAGGAACAACTTCACAATCATCTGGAGAGACAGGGACTACTGGGCCATCAGCTGAAGAATCAGGAACAACAAGACCATCTGTTACAGGGTTAGGAACAATTGGACCATCTATTGTAGCATCAGGGACAACTGGATCATCATTTGGAGAATCAGGAACAACTGTGCCATCATTAGAAGAATCAGGGACAACTAGACTATTAGGTGAGGGATCAACAAAAAATGAATTATCCTCTGTAGAAACAGGTATGACTAGACCATCAACTGGAGAATCAGGAACAACTGAGCCATCAGATGAAGGATCAGGAACAAGACCATCAATTATAGGGTTAGGAACAACTAGGCCATTTTTCATAGAATCAGGGACAACTGGATCATCAGTTGGAAAATCAGGGACAACTGGACCATTACCTGGAGGATCAAGGACAACTGAACCATTTTTTGTAGGATCAGAGACAACTGGGCCATCTGTAGGAGAATCAGGGAAAACTAGACCATCAGCTGAAGGATCAACAACAATAGAACCATTCTCTGCAGGAACAGGAATAACTAGACCATTAGCTGAGAAATCAGGAACAACTGGACAATCATTTGGAGTGACAGGGACTACTGAACTATCAGCTGAAGGATCAGGAACAACAAGACCATCTGTTATAGGTTCAGGAACAACTAGGCCATCTGTTATAGGAACAGAAACTTTTGGACAATCAGTTGGAGGATCAGAGACAACTAAACAATCAGCTTCAGTGACAGGGACAACTGGCAAATCACCTGGAGTGACAGAGATTGGTGGGCCATCATCTGGAGGGTCAGGGAAAACTGGACCATCTGCTAGAGTGACAGGTTCAATTGGCCCTTCTGTTGAAGTGACAGGGACAACTGGAGTCTCAGCTGGAGGGACAGGGGTGACTGGATCATCACCTGGAGTAATAGAGACAACTAGACTCTCACCTGGAGTAACAGGGACAACTAGACCACCATCTGGAGTGACAGAGATATCTCGGCCATCCTCTGTAGAATCAGGGACAAATGGACCATCTGCTGGAGTGACAGGTTCAACTGGATCATCAGCTGGAGTGACAGGGACAACGGGGCTCTCAGCTGGAGTGACAGGGACCAATGGACAATCAGTGAAATTGGTAGAGACAAGTGGACCATCTGCTGGAGTTACAGGTTCAACTGGAGTCTCAGCTGGAGTGACAGGTTCAAGTGGACCATTGGCTGGAGTGACAGAGACAACTGGTCCATCAGGTGGACTGACAGGAAAAACTGGACTCTCAGCTGAGAAGACAGGGACCACTGGCAGTGAAAGTGGCAGGGACCAGTGGAACATCTGTTGGAGTTACAGGTTCAACTGGTCCATCAGGTGGACTGACAGGAAAAACTGGACTCTCAGCTGAGAAGACAGGGACCACTGGACAATCAGTGAAAGTGGCAGGGACCAGTGGAACATCTGTTGGAGTTACAGGTTCAACTGGACTCTCAGCTACAGTGACAGGTTCAAGTGGACCATTTTCTGGAGTCACAGGTTCAGGTGGACCCTCAGCTAGAGTGACAGGGAAAACTGGACTATCAGCTGGAGTTGCAGCGACAACTGGACAATCAGTTAAAGTGGCAGGTACCAGTGGACCATCTTCTGGTGATACAGAATCAAGTGGACCATTTTCTATAGTGACAGGTTCTAGTGGACCATCAGCTGGAGTGACAGGAACAACTGGACTATCAGCT